CCCTTCCCCTTCCCCTTCCCCGGATGGTAACCCCGGCCATTCCTTGCACACAGAAGTGAGATTTGGAAGCAAAATAAAACAGACAGTGTGTCACAGTAACGAATATCCATTCCCACTTTCCTATGCCCTTTCCTATCTTGCTTCCTTCTTTCGTACATATAGATATAGATATATTACAAGGATTCCATGAGGGTGTGGAGTAGAATATCCTTTCTGTCTTAAACCCATGTAGTCTAGTATGATTTTTTTTGGTGTATATTATTTCAAATATATTTGGCTTCTGTATTTCGTTTTGCTTCTCATTGATATCATTTTGTATATTTTGTTTATATATTTTGTATATATATATATTGATATCATTCTATATTTGCTTTGCTTGTCTTATTGATATCATTTTGATATTTTGCAGTTAGCTGCTCATATGATTATATATATATATATACACATATACACATATACATACACACGCACACACACACTTATACATATACTTGTAGTGATTAATATAATTGGCATATTGAATTTTGCATTGCAGTTCTTTTCCTTATACTTACACAGAGTGAATGCCTTACAGTCACTCAAGATAGAAACTTGAAGAAATAATCAAAACATTTTTCCTTGATTCCTGACTACTTTTTACTCTTAGCCTTTTGCATGATTGCTCTGCAGGTGGTGGTCGGTGGCAGTATAGTTGACTTCATTGCCACAGTGATGGAACCAGAAATTAAGGTAGGTTATTTGATTTTGCAAGTTTTATTGGTAGTTAATGGTAGATTGCTAACTGAGTAGTAAAAGATAAGTTTCAGTTAGAGAACACTGGCGAGCAAAAAACGGATATTGGGTTGATTTATAAACAACTAATGATAAGAAGTGACAATAAGATAGAATTTGGAAAATATATATATATATATTACACAATTGGAAGATCCCAGAGATTAACCATAAAATTCAGGCAAAAAACATGTTCTTACAAAATATTTGGAAGTTATGCATTGCTGGTAAGAATTACCATGAAAAAGTGCTGTATGTGTTTGATGTCTTACACATTTATTTGTTTTAACCATTAACTATGTAAAATATAGTAACCATGTAAATTGCAGTTTCTTTAAAACCGTAGTATAAATATTTTTAGGGAACATGCGATTGTATTGTATCCTGTAAATTATAGTGATAAGAAAATACAGTGAAGTCGGTTCTGTAAGACTGCAATGCTTTGACGCGAGTGGTGACATGAAATCTTTTAGTTTTTTATTTATGCTAAAATAATGGTGATGAAAAGGTGATTATTGCAGTATTACGAACGCTTG